CCCACCGCCTCTGCTGCAGCGGCTCCATGCTAACTTGCGCAGCGAGCCGAGACCGACTTCTTTTCTGGCGAACCCCTCCGCGCGCTGAGTACGCTGGTATACTCGGACAACATCGATCTACAGCGGTCCGCAAGCTTGACATTTGCCGAGATAACAGAGCGAGGTACATGACCCGGCACCATACCTACATGCCGCATCTAACACCATCCGTCTAGATGTCAGAGAGGTCGACCGAGACACCCTGGAGCCTATTCTGTTCCTGCTCCAGAACCCCGACATCGAAGTGCAACGTGCAGCGAGTGCCGCCCTGGGCAATCTGGCGGTAAACAGTACGTTCACACCCTACATCCTCGACGCGATGACTAACCATCGTAGCCGAGAACAAGGTAGCCATTGTCGCACTGGGAGGTCTTGCGCCATTGATCAAGCAGATGAACTCGCCCAACGTCGAGGTGCAATGTAACGCCGTCGGGTGCATCACCAACTTGGCTACACACGAAGACAACAAAGCGAAGATCGCACGCTCAGGCGCACTGCAGCCTCTCACAAGACTAGCAAAGTCCAAAGACATGCGCGTGCAGAGGAATGCCACCGGCGCGCTGCTGAACATGACGCATTCAGGTAAGATGCTCGCAGTGTTTCATCATGCTTTGCACTGACACAGTACCAGACGACAACCGACAACAGCTCGTGAACGCTGGCGCTATTCCCGTCCTCGTCCAGCTGCTATCCTCGTCCGATGTCGATGTCCAGTACTACTGCACCACAGCCCTCAGCAATATTGCTGTCGATGCAAGCAACCGCGCCAAGCTGGCACAGACCGAGGGCAGGCTGGTTGGCTCCTTGGTACACCTCATGGAGTCGTCCTCGCCCAAGGTGCAGTGCCAGGCTGCACTTGCTCTCCGTAACCTAGCATCGGACGAACGCTACCAGCTCGAAATTGTGCGCGCTCGTGGTCTACCCTCCCTCCTCCGCCTGTTGCAATCGTCCTACCTACCGCTTATCCTATCCGCCGTCGCATGCATACGAAACATCTCCATCCACCCTGCCAACGAATCGCCTATCATCGAAGCTGGCTTCCTCAAGCCTCTCGTAGATCTGCTCGGCTCCACCGATAACGACGAGATCCAGTGCCACGCCATTTCCACCCTGCGCAACCTCGCGGCAAGCTCAGACAAGAACAAGCAATTGGTTTTGGAGGCGGGTGCCGTGCAGAAATGCAAGTCGCTCGTGCTCAACGTGCGACTCCCGGTTCAGTCTGAGATGACGGCAGCAATTGCCGTTCTTGCCCTTAGTGAGGAGCTCAAGCCCCATCTACTCAACCTGGGCGTCTTCGATGTACTCATTCCACTCACCGAGTCGGAGAGCATCGAGGTTCAAGGCAACAGCGCGGCCGCTCTGGGAAACCTGTCTTCCAAGGGTAAGTCTAACTCTTCGCTACTACAATCATCGCTAACAAGTACAGTCGGTGATTACTCGATATTCATCCAGAACTGGACGGAACCCGCAGGCGGAATCCACGGTTACCTCCGCCGCTTCTTGGCGAGCGGAGACCCGACCTTCCAGCACATCGCGATCTGGACACTGCTACAGCTACTCGAATCGGAAGACCAACAGCTAATGGAGCACATTGGCAAATCGAACGAAATCATCGACATGGTGACCGAGATTGCCGAGCGCAACATCGAATCGGACGATGAGGACAACGAAGACGGCGAGGGCGAGGTCGTCACCCTCGCACGCAGATGTCTCGAGCTGCTTGGCAAGAGCCCCAAAACTCTCGTCGAAGGATAGAGAAGAGTTGGATCGCATCTTATACCCTGTTTATCGGTTGTTCATCGCGTTGGCACTCTTGCTCGTATCCGCCATATTCCGGTTCTCTGCTAATGCGTTCATGTTACACACTGCTTTTGGGCATCTTGGAGGCTGGCGTTCAGGGAGCACAATCATCCTCAGTATCTCTAGCGAGCATTGGCGGAGCGGGCTTTTTACATACATTGGCATGCACATAACTTACCACTACTCTTACCTGAGCATTCGACGCGGACAAATTTGTAATTGATAGAGTTGGATCGAGGCTTCGGTCGTCAGGAAATGAATTAGATGATGTTCCGAGACTCGTAGCCTTTGGTGATGATATGCTTCTTTGACTATGACTATGTGACAGGGCCCATTGTAAAGTGAATAGTGAAAGGCGAGAGCATCCGCTTATGCACCGACAGGTCTATGCCTGAGACTAGTCGAGGCCCCTCACCTAGACATGTGACGTCGCGTTGGAGCTAACGAGTTATCGATAGCCAAAATATTTGTGTCTCTCAGCGTTGCGCGAGTCACCACGCACTACCCTCTAACAACACCCGTATAACAGCAATGCCGCCAAAACCAAGAGGACGGGGAGCTAGTCGCGCTCGCGGCAGCGCAAGAGGAGGAGCAGTAGCAGGGCGAGCCACGACTGGCGCGAGCGAATCCACGGATGCGACCCCGCAAAGCACAGCTCCCGCAGACGCCTCGGAAGCTGCTGCTGAGCCTGTGGTCCCCAAGCAAGAAGACGGCGATGCGAAACCAGTCATTAGTGGTGATGGCGCGTCGGCAGCCATGGAGTCGCAAGCCTCTGAGGCGCCTTCAACGACTGCATCGTATGCTCTATTCCTCCATTTACCCTGACGGCAGTACTGATATATGTACGACAGGGCTGTTGCATCACCCCAACCTAGCGCAGAACCAACCACCCGCGCTCCAGTGCAAAGACTCGGTAGTCTCCAGGGCTCAGTGCCTCCTTCGCGATCTGCATCACCGTCTGTACGCGGCCGCGGCGGCACAACTCGAGGGAAGAGGGGCGTCAAAACCCCCGCCTTTACCGGGCGAAGGAGCAAAGAGGAGCGAGACGCTATCGCAAAAGAATTGGCTGCCCGCGACCGAGAAAGGACAAAGGAGCAGGTTGCGGCGGAAGCTAGGAAGCAGGCGGACGCAACAAGGGCAGCAAGACGAGAAGCCAGCAAGCTGAAAAACGCTAGAGGTGGATTCAGTGGTGTTGCCAGTGGACCATTCTCGTTGGGCAGCTCCAAGGAAGGCATGTCACTCGCTCTGGCAATGGTTCTACGTACTGACCTGGACTAGACAGGAAGAACAACCCGAATCGCGGATACTCTGGTTTCGGATCCGGATCGGGCTCAAGAGCGGAGCGCGTCAAGAACGAGGACGGCAGCTATGGAGGGTCTGGTTCCCGATCGGGTGGAGGTGGCGGGGGTGGAGGCGGAAGTGGAGGTGGTCCATCTATCAAGAGAGAAGATGGCGGCCTCGTATCGTCTGATGAAGAAGACGAGGCTGATGTGCCGCGCAAGGACATCGACTTGATCGAAATCTCCTCGGACGAAGACGAAAGCAAACCCAAAAGCGCACCCACCTTACGCGGAGCAAGAACAGCGTTACCCGTACGTATCGGAAGGAAAGAGCACCAGGAACGGACATTTGGCATCAATACAGAGGCAAGCTCAGAGACTGCGGCGAAGATTTTGGAGCAGGCAGAATCGAGTGGGCAGTCACTCAAAGATGCTGCATCCGAACAAACAAGCCGGAAACCCAAGAGCAAACCGAAGGACATGGAGATCACAGGTTCGCGGAAACAGTTCAAGGGCGTCTGGCATGATTCGGAAGACTCAGACGTCGTTGTCAAGACTGAACCTACTAGTGAAGACGAGAACATGGTCGATGCCGAGCAGGTGGGCCAATCTGACGCTCCAGCTCAGCCCGCAGAGAAACAGGAACCACAGTCACCAGATGCCGAGCGAAAGCCTAAGCTCAGGAAGAAACCTATAGCAGAGCCTATCCTCCAAACCGATGAAGATCGCGCCGAATGGGCACGCTTCCAGTCGAATCTACGCCATATCCGAGCCGAGTTGGGTCCAGAAGAAGTACCACAGGTCGACGGGTCTGGCGATGTACCTATGGCAGACGCCGCCAGCACGGAGAAGAAGCCTACGGTACGAGACAACAACGTCTATCTGTTTCAAATACCACCCCTTATGCCTGCGGTGGAGCCACCTTCTATCAAGAAAGAAACCTCCGACCCTCAGCCCGCTCAACCGCCTGCGCAGCCATCAGTCAAGCCGGATCCAAAGATCAAACTCGAAGAGGGCAGCTTCTCCGACCCCTCTGCTAGATCAAGGGAGGGCGTACGATTCGGGAGTGGGTTGGTAGGAAAGTTGCGCGTGCATGAATCTGGCCGCACGACACTGGACTGGGGAGGCACAAGCTACGAGCTTACACCTGGACAAAAAGCCAGTTTCCTCCAGGAAGTTGCTAGCCTTAGCATCCGACCTGAAAGCGAGAGGACGGCGCCGGAAGACGGGGGCGATGCAACAAGTCTTGGTAGAGTGAAGGGAAAGTTCGTGGTGGTGCCAAACTGGGGAGAAATGTTAGGGTAGGGGTTGATTTGACCCAGGCGTTCGTGACATGCATATCCTGGCGCTACAGGGATCAGTCAAAGTTTATGGGTTGTACATATGTAACTGCATCTCCCAGGACCAATATTGAAGTCCGCCACCAATCAGCAACAACTGCTTGAGATGAAGACAACGATTTGTACAAGAACGGGCGTTTTGGGTGAAACAGTAACTCGCAGCATTTCGCGCCTCGTTCCAATCGCCTCGGTAAGACTACCAAGGCGTGCATGCCAAAGTTCTAGACAACAGACGTAAGGTGGGGACGACGACGGACGAGGCGGATCTAGGTCACTGCTGCGTCAACTAGTCGCTCAGCCAGGAATCCCATGGTGGCAAGGAGCGAATCTCGAATTCCCATGACCGGCCGACTCGTGCACCTGCTCCCTGCTGCAACACCTGCATCTTCGCACACTGTAAGATCACGGACTCATCTCAGCCACTGCATGCGATAGGAACGATATAATATCCTCCGGCGCGCTTTCGGCGCCTTCCCGCGACTATCCCCAGCATTCTCCACGCGCCATCCAATCACAGCATTAACGACGCAGATCTGCCACCATGGAAGCGGACATCCGGGAGCTATACGACAGCGACCCACGGCCAACCTTTGTCGTCGACTGCCAAGCCCCGACTGCCATCGTATATCATGTCAACACCGCCCTACTCACGATTCAACATATCGCATCATCGCTGCATTCACATTCTGCGCTGAGAGACTGGTGGGATCCTGCCAGTAGAGTTGCAGCACGCCATCAAAATGAGTTCCTGCATGGCCGATACAAATGGGCCAAATTCGCATGCAAGCGCTGGTTGATTGTCACCATCATCGAGCAGCCAGCGCCAAATGATGAACAGCATGGCCACCTGCAGGAGCCCGCGCAATTTGCCCGAGGGAGGCTGCCTTCACCACGTCTGCAACCAGTGCCAGACACCATCTTTACCGTCAAAATTCAATCGCCAGAATTACGCGCACATGTCGAACATATACGAAATGTCAACTGGTCTAAGACGTCACTTGGCCCGATCAGTTCATGGGGTTATGAACTCAACGTTCTGGTCACCACACTGATGCTGGAAACGCGGCCAACGGCTCTCTTCCTTGGTCCCGAGCATACCATACTGTACAATCTTGCGTATGCCTCCGTTAGTGGCTCAAGGCATCCCGCTATCCTTGGTCAAAGTATTATTGATGCTTGGTATTTACTTCACGCGCACATACAATGGTCCAGTATCTAACTCGCTCTAGGCCTGAACTCGCCGATCCTGTTAGTGCCACGATGGCTCGCTCAGAGCAGACGCGTTTCGCAGATGCTCCAGAAGAAGAGTATCATTTCATGGTTGAGCGATTTGGCTTTGTAGAGGAAGCCTTCTTCATGTGGAGCTTGGTACCCCTTGTCGGTGTTCACATCGACGGCATGTACTCCATCGTGACTGAGGTGACGAAACAAAGGTAGGTATCCTGCATATGTGCTACGAACGACAGACTGATTCACCGAGCATAGATTGTTGGAACGACGTGTCGCTGCCCTGCTCAAAGTAGGCCAACTGACTAGCAAGGCAAGAAGCACCAAAAGTTTCTGGCACAGCTTGGCCGATGCCGTCAGGCCTTTCGAATACGACTTTCCGGCCGCCGTTTTATATTCACAGTGCGAATTACACGATATGGCGGAAAACGATATCTCACCGAGAGGAGCACTTAGTAAATGTACGCTCGAATGGGCCATTGGCTACAAGCCTAACCACCCGGCCATACCTCCGCAATTGGATCTCAGCAGCGACGACGGCTTAGCCTGCGCCATGCGAGATGCGGCAAGCGACGGGACCGCACTTATGTATCAGGAAAAGGAGGGTATATTGCCGCAGTCGCTATACCATGATCTCGAGAAGCGAGGCTTTGGAGATCCCCTGAAACATTTCATTGTTGTTCCGATCAGGACCTACGACGAAACTATAGTAGGGTACCTTCTACTCGGCCTGAATACGCGGCGACCGTTTGACGACGAGTACAAGGACTGGATCAAGGTGTTTTCCAACTTGCTCGGTGCCTCTGCGGCCTCAGTAGCGCTTCACGAGGAAGAGATCAGGAAACGCGAACTCCAGGAAGAACAAGCTGCGAGGGATAGAGCAGCTCTTAATGCAGAAGTTGCGAATCTCACACTGGAAGCCAGTCACGTAGCTGAAAAGCTCCGCAACTTTCACGATATCGCGGACGAAGTTGGCCTGGGGTACTTTGAGATCGATGTCAATGGCATATTGCTTCATGCTAACGTAAGGACATTTCGTTCAGGAAACTGAATGCAACTAATATCAATTCAGGGAACGTACTTTGCTCAGACTGGCCACCGGAGAGACTTTCTCGAGGTCCCGGTATCGGCTTACAAGGAGTGCGTCTTTGAGGAGGACCTAGCCATGGTGGATAGCCAATGGAAAATGCTTGTATCCGGCGAACCGGCGACATTTGAGATACGATGGAAGCGACCAGATCAGAACCATCAGAGCGGAGAAGCTGCCGACGACGTTCTCTGGACATTGTCAGCATGTATGCCTATCAAAGGCGCAAACGGGCTAGTCACAGGCATATTTGGATGCAACACCGACATCAGTGCTCAGAAAGAAGCGACTAAATCCGTACTATTGCGATCGGAAGCAGAGCGACGTCTAGCTTCCTTTACGGAGCTCGTACCAGTGGGTTTATATCATCTCAACCCAGACTTGACGATGAGATATGTCAACGACCAGTGGTTCCGCATTACCGACCATCCCAAAGTGCCCATCGATCAAGTAGAATGGCGAACTATTATCGATGACGATTTGATAGAGCGATGTGTTCATGAAGTCGAGGTCGCCAGACGCATAAGAGGACCACATACCTTCACAATAAACCTCAAGAAGAGGTGGATGGGTCCTGACGGTATTGAAACACCCACTTGGATTCTTGTCAGCGAGACGGCGTATCCCGATGAGACTGTGACGGGAACAATGACTGATGTCAGTCACATGGTATGGCTTGAAGCTATTCAGAAGAACAGAGTCGGAGAAGCGCTCGAGGCGAAAAGGCAGCAGGAGAACTTCATTGATATGACGTCTCACGAGATGCGGAATCCATTGAGCGCGATGGTACAATGCGCGGACTCCATATACTCATCCCTGAACGAGATGAGTGGACTCGCGAGCGGAGAGGCCTTGGCGTTACCTGTCATTCAGACACAACTAAAAGGCTTGATCAGCACCAGTATGGACGCAGTGGATACGATACAAGCGTGCGCTACGCATCAAAAGCGAATTGTGGACGACATCCTTACTCTGTCAAAACTGGACTCAAAGCTGCTGGTCATCAGTCCCATAGTGTTACAACCCTCGGTTCTTCTACAAGACGCCTACAAGATGTTCAAGGACGAGGCGAACAAAGCTCGCGTGAACCTGGAAGTAAGATGCGACTCGTCCATCACGGATTTGAACATTGATTGGGCGATACTGGACCCCAGCCGAGTTTTACAGGTCCTCATTAACTTGCTCACCAACGCCATCAAGTTTACCCAAAGCCAAGAGATCCGCAAGGTCGAAGTAATCATGAGCGCATCACGCGAGGCAGAACAGATGCCCGATGTCGAGTATGTGCCTCAGGAAGCCGTCAGAAAAGATTTCCTGACTCAGGCCGAGTGGAACAACGCTGGCGAGCCGTTTTATCTACATTTTACTGTCAAAGATACAGGATGCGGTCTGTCTCCCGAGCATAAAGCCAAACTGTTCCTACGCTTTTCGCAGGCGACCCCAAAGACACATGTTCAGTATGGCGGCTCAGGCTTAGGCCTGTTCATCTCGCGCGAACTCACCGAAATGCAAGGCGGAAGCATCGGCGTATCCTCCGTTCACAATGTTGGATCAACATTCACATTCTACATCAAATCACGGAGGGCAAAAGATCGAGGTGCCCTTTCAACCACAAACGGCCACAAGAGGAAAGATAGCCTGTCGAGTCGGTCCAAGGCTCAGATCGTCCAGGGCGATGTCAAAGCCCCCGATGGAGCACTGCCTATCGCCGTCCCCATGGAAGATCAGGAAGATGAGAAAGTAATCAATGACCACAAATACCACATACTCATCGTAGAGGACAACCTCATAAATCAACGCGTCCTATCCACCCAACTCAAAAAGCTGGGACACACAATTCACGTCGCAAACCACGGTTTTGAGGCTCTCTCCCAGCTATCGCGCACATCGTTCTCTCCGACACCAAGCGAAACACCGCCTCTTCCGCTCTCCGTTGTGCTTATGGACGTTGAGATGCCCGTAATGGACGGCTTGACCTGCACTAGGCGAATACGGGAGATGGAGAAGAATGGCGAGTTGAGTGGGCATGTGCCGATTATCGCGGTCAGTGCGAACGCGAGAAGAGAACAGATTGATATGGCGAAGGAGGCAGGCGTGGATGAGGCGATCTGTAAACCTTTCCGCATCCCGGAGTTGGTGGCGTTGATCCGGGGACTGGGGGTTTGAGGGGAATGAAATGGGCGGCGATGCGGCGTAGATCCCGAGGTTTGCTGCGTTCAGACTATTATATTGTAGCAAGTACGTAGTATGCAAGGCAATGTATACTTCTACTCAAGACATTGCTGTTGAATGCGACACAAACTCTAGTCACGCCTAGTAGTGTCAGTCGAGGGGTCACGCAATGCCAGCGTATGTCTAGATCAGGTCTGCCTACAGTACAAGCTTTCACGCCGCCGATGCCATGGATATAGTTCGCTGATGACGCATTTCAACCACGATCAACGATTGAACCATCCAAAACCTCTATCGAAAAGCCCCCAAATTGCTTCCAGAACATGTGCATCTAGCGGATCTTAGTTTTGTGCAAACTTCCGCCGTATAGTGAGCCGGGTGGTCTCCCCCACACCTAGTGCGACTACCCTCAGACGCGTCCGAGCACGCGTCGTCCAGTCAACTAGTGGAGATCACTCGCGTAGTAACGCCATCGAGATCGCAAACCCGTACAAAGTATGTGTGGGATAAGGGAGCAAGTCAGGGGAAGGTGAGCATCGCATAGACGGAACAGCTTCAGACGCGTCCAACACGGTCTCACGACGCGTTCTCGGGCCAAAACATGTCCAACTCGGCGTGTGACGAGTCGAGTGGAGCCAACCAGCCATCAGCGTCAGATCATTATCAGAGAAAATCTAATCTGATCCGAGGCCGGAACGAGCACGGCCAGATGGCAGCCAATGCAAGCGTCGAGACGGGCCAATCTGGGTTTCAAATGTATTTCCAAGCCTTTGTTCAGCCGCCAAATGCAGGACTAACTGGTCGCGGAAACGGCCCTTGCATGTTGTGGTGGGGAGACTCGACTCATAGCGCGTTGCGACGCGTCTGGCACAGACGGTTTTTACGTGAAAGCTCGTGGCTGGGCGACGCGCTGGGAGACGTTGACGATGATTGTCGACGACCAACAGACGAAAAGAACGCAATATGGGTGTCGTTGGAATGCGCGCACTCGATTATGTAGTTCAAGCAGATTTATAGTGTAGTTCGATGTTCATAGGGCACAAAAGTCATGGTGATCGAAGCCGCACATGGATGAGATCATAGCGTCTTTTCGCGAGGAAGGCGCGTTAGTGGCTGGCCAAAGCCGATCGCCCAGTCACGTGCTAGCGTCTCGACGCGGATTTATAGTGAAGTCGCGTCTGCTCTTCGTCTCTCTCTACACCACAACCATCATCAGCCCACATCAGCGATACCACTTGTAATCCTGACTGCACATTCGCCTTTCTTCATACAATCCAGAGCTTCACACATATTTTCTCTTCACAATGTCTGCTCTTGAGTCTACGCCTTCCAAGCAGGTACGTCGCGATACTTCCGGTACTTGTACCCAGCAAGACGCGTCCATTCTAACGCGTCAAAAGGTCGCATCCGCGATCGACTCGCTCAAGATGAACGACTCGCCCGCAAAGAAGCTTGACTTCTCCCCAGCACAGAAAGAGAACACCTTCAAGCCCATCGTCGGCATCCCAGATGACTTCGAGGATGACCTTGAGGAGGTCAAGCCTACTGTCGCGCCCACGATCAAGGAGGAGGAGGCCGAAGAGCCCCTCCTCCAAGAGAACCCTGGACGCTTTGTCCTGTTCCCCATCAAGTACCACGATGTAAGTTTCACTCCGATCTAACGCGTTTTACGCGTGACTAGACGCGTCAAACCCCACTTAAGCAATACCCTTGCTAATGACATGTCTACTACAGGTCTGGCAGATGTACAAGAAGGCCGAGGCTTCTTTCTGGACCGCAGAGGAGATCGATCTCTCCAAGGATCTCCACGACTGGAACTACCGCCTGAACGATGACGAGCGCTTCTTCATCTCCCACGTCCTCGCCTTCTTCGCCGCCTCCGACGGCATCGTCAACGAGAACCTCGTCGAGCGATTCTCGAGCGAAGTACAAATCCCCGAGGCGCGATGCTTCTACGGCTTCCAGATCATGATGGAGAACGTCCACTCCGAGACCTACTCTCTTCTCATCGACACATACATTAGCGAGCCCAAGCAGCGCCGCTACCTCTTCAACGCCATCGACAACAGTAAGTTATACCTACAACGTGCTTTGCAACATCACCTAACGCGTTCCAGTTCCCTGCATCCGCAAGAAGGCTGACTGGGCCATGCGATGGATCTCCGACAAGAACTCTACTTTCGCCAACCGTCTTGTCGCCTTCGCTGCTGTTGAGGGTATCTTCTTCAGCGGCTCCTTCGCATCCATCTTCTGGCTCAAGAAGCGTGGCCTGATGCCCGGTCTTACCTTCTCCAACGAGCTCATCTCCCGCGATGAGGGTATGCACACCGACTTCGCCTGCCTTCTTTTCTCTCTCCTCAAGAACAAGCCCAGCCTCGAGTCTGTCAAGGCCATCATCACCGAGGCCGTGGAGATTGAGCAAGAGTTCCTCAGCGACGCTCTGCCATGTGCTCTGCTCGGCATGAACGCTAAGCTCATGTGCCAATACATCGAGTTCGTTGCTGACCGTCTGCTGTTGGCCCTTGGCAACACCAAGGCCTACCACGCCACCAACCCCTTCGACTTCATGGAGAACATCTCGCTAGCCGGCAAGACCAACTTCTTCGAGAAGCGCGTCGGTGACTACCAGAAGGCTGGTGTCATGGCTAGCACAAAGAAGCACGAGAAGGACGGCTCATCTACGCCCGCTCCTGAGCCCCAAGGCCAGTCCGGAGACTTCTGCTTCGACGAGGACTTCTAGACGCCTCGACTTCTTCTCTTGTTATTTATTTGCGATTTAGTTACTGTACAACACTTCGGACGCTTGGGTTTGGCACGGATGCCGGGCATCTTCGTTCACATACCCCCTTTGCATTTGTTGAAGTAACCACTCTTCGCACTTTGGAGTCATGGCGTTGCTAGCTAGCTGGGATGGGCCTCTTGGATGAGTGATGCGGTAGGATAGCTATAGTACGCGGCAGCGATGGGATCAACGACTCTATCATTTTGAATAATCACGAATACAAACATTTACATATATACATGTCTCCACTACCACATCTCCATTGACGCGTGAAGGTCTTCATAATGTTACTCGTGCATGACGCGTGCAGCTTCGGTCCGACACGCCACGCGACAGCATGCGCTTGAACGAACCAAGCTTTGCCGATACCTGCCCATATCTCCTACCACGTGGATTACTCGCAGTAGCCTTCATGTGCGCGACTTCCTCTGCAGATGCTACGCGCCGCCCAGGCGCGCAACCTTGCCCTTGGAAGGATGCGCTCAGGTACCGCCTGCTATGACGTCAGCCATGCGTGAGGCGTCCCGCGGCTGCCATCCTGTGGAGTTGCCACAAGCGAGCTGGATACTTGCAGGCGGTCCAGCGCCATCTTCAGGTCTGCAGTTTGCGACACCTTGACTATTTGCTTTTAACCAATCGCGCACTATGGGGATATTGGTAATCCTGTCCCTGCATTTGCGTACAGAATTGGTGCACCAGACAACGACAGGCTAGCTCGTAAACATCCGCGACCCTCCGCGACAAAATCCGACTTTATCGTTGTTCTAGTGCAGCGTGCATATTCCATGATTACCACTTGAATCGAGTCGCAGCACGCAAATCCATGTGTTCAGCGAAGGGTGTCAAGTACCATTGAGGTGACGCCGGGGTAGATCCATACCGCTTCGTGACAAGTCAACATGGCAGACACCGTACCCCAGATCAAGGTGACGGACCCACCTGCCGTTGGCAAAGGCTCCTACTTCCAGAACCAGGAGAACGCGTCTTCAATCACAGTAGACGGTACGTCGCACACCAGCACCCATTGTTGCAAGTCACATCGCAACTTGACAGATGCTTACTCCAGGATCCGCAGGCCCATTGTCCAACAAGAAACTCTCCGCCAAACTTCGAAGCCCCACCACACCCTCTGCGCAACCGGCAGGCGATACACACAATGGATACATTGGCGATGGAGAGAGATTGCCCGAAACACTCATGGACCCGCTCTCGCAAGTATGTACATATAAGGTTCGAGATGCGGAGACGGACGCTAATTGCGCATTATCGTATAGCAAATCCTACAGAGAACGAATACGTCGCCCGCCGTACAGAAACTACGATCCCAGAACACCGAGCCGATCCAATCGCCAACGTCACCGAACGAAGCGAACGCAGACAAGAAATTGAGCGGAGAGACGGCCCGCGACACAAGCGGGGGCAAGGCAGACAAGAAGTAAGTGCACATGTTCGTTCACGAGAGCGCATGGAGTGTCATATGGCTACATGCCAAGGGTTAGCGCGTATTTCGTACTGAGGTTCAGGACCCGCGTATCGAGGCTGAGCTCGCGCTTCGCTCTCTTGTTGGCCTGATCGCCATGGCCGACGCTAGCCCCAGGTGTGACCAGTAAGGCTGACTATGTATGTAGGAAAGTGTCATTCCTTAGTCGCTTCATCGGAGGCAACAAAAAGAAGAGTACCCTCGATGGCGCAAGCGACAATGGCTCTGAGGCAGACGACCGACGACCAGAGGGTATGGATGCCCAGCTCTATGTCGACAATGTCAGCTTCAGTCCGAAGATACCACATCCTCCGGCGTACATCAAAGTGAGGACAAAGTTCAAGAAGGAGAAAGAGTTTGACCGTGTCTTCCTGGCGCAGGAGTTACGCTCTGGATCGGATAAGAAGAGTCCCCCCGCTGCTGGATCAAACCCTGCGCCTCAGTCTGGGTCGGCCGCTACGCAGAATCCTATCTGGGCGGTTGAGTTCAGCAAAGATGGGAGGTATCTTGCTGTTGGTGGTCAGGACAGAGTCATCCGGGTGTGGGCCGTGATTGACAGCCCAGAAGGACGCCGCGCACACGAGAATACCGAGAGCGATCCGCATGCCCAACTCAGCGCACCAGTCTTCCAGCAGAAGCCCGTTCGCGAATACCAAGGACATACGTCGACGATCCTGGACTTGAGCTGGAGCAAGGTATGTCGGATTTATGTGAGGCATTGATGCATTAGCT